ATGTCCAGAGCTAAAAATTTATTTATTAGAGCTAAAAATAGAAACAGACAAATTAGATAAATTGATGATCATCTGATTTAAAAATAGGTGCAGACATAATAACACACAAAATCTGGTCTATCACTACATCATAGATCATTCTCTGCTACATTCTGGACAATTATATAAAATTTTATATAGGGTTACAAACCCAATATAAACTTATAAAAATTTTTATTGTATGTAATTTTTATATATAATTTTATTTATTATTTATATAAATATAAAATCTACATAAATTTTATTTATATTTTAATAAAAATAATTTATTTACTTTAGCCATTTCTCAAAACACCAATCAATGTATTAAGTAAAAATGTTCAGCATGATCGAAAACCTTTTCCAAACCTTAATTTAAACCTTAAAATCTAATCCTAGCTTTAACATTTAAGTTAAAATGTTTTTGCTATTTTATATAATTATACATAAAAATATATAGATTTATATAAATAAATATGTAAATCTACATTGGATTTGTAAAGTTTTTGTAATGTTATATAAAATTTTACATAATTCTATATAAAAATTCTATATAATTCTAAATAAAACAACTTCATGATGGAGGTTTTTGCTTTAAAAGGTTTCTTCACAGGCAACTTCGATACTGTGTTCTTCTTTATCTCCAAAAATTTTGATACTATGTTCTTCTTTACTTCCAGGAATAGTAATGTACTCATTAATAGCATCAATATTATCATTTCTTGTTGTATACAAATTGATATATAAACTACTTCTAATTGAAAGAACAAAAATTTTATATAATATCCCTTTGGTAAACTTGAAAGTTTCACTGACACTGAAAATGAACCATTAAATGTTTTATCAGCTTTAATGCCCGAAGAAAGACCAAATAATTGATTTAGTAAAGGATAATTATTTATATCAAAAAAATATACTGTAAGTGATCTATTATTCCAACATCACTAGTTATAGTCACATTAATAATATCAAAAGTTATGTTTTGTCCAAGAATGAGAGGGTCTAGATTCATATTAACATTGAAAACTCTATCAGGGCTACCAATACAGACTCTAAATTCGGTTTTTCTTTCTGGTATTATATGGAATTTTTATTACTTGATCAAGATAGATATCTCTAGCAATAAATTATCTAATTTATACTCCAACATGAAGATATTCTAGGATCAAATGTAGATCTAATCGATCTCATATGGGTAAGCTTGAATACATTGTGCTAATTTTCTCTATCTCGTATTTTCATAAACTTTCACACTGTAATTATTAGATTAGCAAGAGTTGTAGATAATATTAGATGATACAAGAGTAAAAGGGTTGTATATCATAGCCTGACAAAATATATATAAAAGACCTGACCTTTTGTCTTGGTAAAAGTAGTTCGTGTCTTTTCCTTTTTCTTGATAACTATATTTTATTATTGTATTCATTTACCTATCTATCATAATAAATAATTGTGTCTTCATATATGTTAAATTAATTTATATTGTTAAATGACTTAACAATCTTGGCTATGTGACTATTGTAAAGAAACTTCATGATCGATATTTACTTATTGAATAAAGCTTACATTATCTCACATATTCTTGAGGACATTGATGTCTGTGAGCTTACATAATTTACACTTTAAAAATACTTACCTATTATATTATATAGTCATTACAACTATTTGTATCCTCATATACATTTAGTTGCCACCTCTTTTAATAAAGCCTAGTAAAAACCTCTTTGTTAAGTCGAATATTCGACGCATCTTGTCCAACCAAATCATAAGGTCATAATCTTTACACTATAACCGCTACGTTCCTTGAACTACTATTAAGAGGTGTAGTTCAGATGTAACATTGGAATGGAATAGCATTAATGGTGAGAAGTGCAGCCAATAAAGTAAATACGAAAATAAAATTTTGATTCATTATTTCTTTATATCGATAGGTTTTAACAGGATAATTGATATTTTAATTATTAAAGAACAAGCATCAAAGTTGTTCCCCTTTTATAAGAATTTATCGAAATGACAGACATGGGCGTTATTTCAAAAATCTTACACTCGAAAAAAAGTATATTTAGTTTTGAAATAGTATCTATGCGTATCCCAAATAACGCATACACATATTTTTTAAATTTCGGCAGTTCCATATTTATCAAAATTTTCCAAAAAGATCATAATTATTATAATGCCACATACTGATCTAACACTGGCAATCAAAATTAATGTAGCAATAAAAAAAAACTTGGCTAGATCGAATTATTTCATGCAATTCTAGACGTATCCTTTTTTTCTTTATTTAATTCTAAATATCAACAATTATTACTATTGCTAATATGACAATATTCTTGCATATAACATAAGCATGTGATACATTATTAATGATCATTGTACTATTCTGGGTGAACTTCTCAAAGTCCATTTTTCTGAAATACGATGTCACCGAAATTGTAATACTGACAATCTATTTTTGCTAACAGGACATAATTGAATCGTGTGATTTCACCGACAATCAATTCACCGAAAAGTTTATTTTACCGACAATTACATCATCGATAAGTTTTTTTAAAAAAATTGCACTAACCTTACAGCTGTTCTCATAATTTCCGTGACAACTGATAAAAATAGTTTTGGTCGAATTCGATAAATTTTTGAATTTGGTGCTATTGGCATTGGATTTTCAGCATTACAGTAATACCGATAACACCGAATTTGGCCGAATGATAATTAGTTAATTTTTATCATTGTCCCAGAATTTATGAAAACAGCTAAAACTCTAATTATAAACTGACCCTAACGACAATGACCGAAATTACTTTTCGATGAAATACTGTCGGTGAAATAAGCTATTGGTGAAATAAATTATCGATGAACTAAGTTGTCTGAAATGGGTCTCGTAGAGAAGAAGGGATATTTAAAATCATTTTTCTTTTACATCTTTGTTTATATCCTCGAAAAATGGATATTCTTGATTATTCTGGGTTAGTTGTTATCGGCGTCGCACTAAAAGCTAGAAACATAAACAACAATATTCTAAGAATGGAGTGATATTAAACATTTAACGAAGTGTATGGTTATATCGCAAATTATCGCGCTTTTCAAATTACTGTCCACTGATTTTCAACATCACACCGGCAATCAGAAATCTAATTTTTAGCCAATCACGTATTGGCATTTTTTCTAGATTTCTGATTCCCAATGTGATTTATGAAAATCAGTGGAAGCGTGATAAATGGTGTGTGTCCGCAAAATACTGCATTTTATTTGATAATATATGTGGCAAAGTAGGGATGTGAATGCATATTTGGAATTTCACACGTAATACTTTCTTCTGTATACAGGCAACTTCTGCGCACGATTTGATCCACACCTGATTCCATATTTACTGCTTTTCTTATGATCTGTTTCACAATTAAGTTTTAAAATTCTTATACAGTATTCAAATGTTGTAACAAATGATAGTAAAAGCATGATAAATATTAGTGGCTTCATATTTATTCACGAGATATTTGACATTTTTCATTTTTCTATATAGGATTTATTATCACTGATTAGAGTTTGGAAAAAGGCACTTTATCACTGATTATAAAAGAAGAATTACATTTTGAAGATACCCACGACCTGATTGATACATAAGTATTTCTCCGATTATTTCAATAAGTCTAGTGACAAGTTATTATGTTTACATATCTTATTATTAATATTGATTTTAATCAATGCAGATACAGGTTACCCTCGTTAATATCAACCTATTTGAATTGGTTTTAAATCATGTTGATAGTGATATTAATGAGAAATCA